GCTTAGGAATGGGAGGTGGCCCTAAAGCTAGGATTAGGAGATAGAGATAACTAAAAGTACTGTATAAAGAAAGGAAGGAGGATGGGACGAGAAAGATGGTGGAGAGTGGGAAGTTCGTTTATATTGAAACTAGAGGCCCAGTGCATTTGTGCACCGATGGGGTCCCTCGGCCTGGCCTGCAGGGGTCGGCCGAAACCGGCTCTCTGACATCCCCTGAGAGGTTCCAGATTGTGAGAGTGTGCAGGCCAGGCTGAGGGACCCCACTGGTGCACAATTGGCGCCGGGGATGGGTCATGGAAGGGCTCTAGGGAGTATCTGGCCCCATCTTGCCCAGTTCTGATTGGCCGGACCCCAGCAGCAAGCTAACCTACTGGTCCAGTGGTCGGCAAACTCATTAGTCAACAGAGCCAAATATCAACAGTACAACGATTGACATTTCTTTTGAGAGCCAAATTTTTTAAACTTAAACTATATAGGTAGGTACATTGTTATTAACTTAATTAGGGCACTCCTAAGCTGGCCTTTGCTAAAAACGTCCTCAATCTGATTGAGGTACGTTTGCTGAGGTTGACCCCTTCCAGCTCTCCCATCCACACTCGTCTTGTATACTTGTTTCGTCTATCTCCTTTCGTTCATCCTCTCTATATGTCCAAACCATCTCAACATACCTTTCTCAATCCTCGACACTACATCTTCTTTCACTCTACAACGTTCCCTAAAATTAACTTAATAAACTTTACTTAAAGTTTTAAGTCTTAGTTAAACTATAGGTACGTTGAATAAAACTTGAGATCATACTTAATAACGACATTATTTATTGATAAAATGAAATTCCTTACAATTTACAATATCCATAAAATTAAATCATGACAATGGCTGACAAACACTAATGTGAACAATGGCCTTGCATCTCCTTGGAAAGTTTGGGTAAGTCAGGTTTGTATGTTGCCTGCACGTGGTATTTTGTGGAAGAGCCACACTCAAGGGGCCAAAGAGCTGCATGTGGCTCGCGAGCCGCGGTTTACCGACCATTGTACTGGTCGAGCGTCTGCTCCCTGGTGGTCAGTGCACGTCATAGCGACTGGTCGAATGGTAGAACAGTCAGACACTTAGCATATTAGGTTTTTATTATATAGAAAAAGATGGGGCCAATGGATTCCAATGCCGTTAGGATACAGAAGAACTTTAAGAGCAGGAATTATAATTTTAGGTTATTTGCGTCCTTCATTTAAAACCTCAGTTGCTTCAGAAGAGTCTGCTACACAAAAAACCAAAGAAAAGGGTTTGATTTCCGAATTGTGTGTCAGCAGGAGAGAAGAATTGCAGGAGGTAAGATGTGAGGGAGTCTACCTGTTCAGAGAAAGCATAACTTGGAGCCTGAGAACGTTAAGCCCCAGGGGATGTGTGATCTTGGAGATCACACAGGAGGTGAAAAAGGGACTTGAATCAATCTCAAGGAAACCTCTGTGGACAAGGTGACCTTGACTGGAATGGGATGACATACACATTAGCTTGCTATTTTCAATCATACTTTCTCAAGACACATTTATTACTAGAAAATGACAGGGTCAGTAACCCCACCTCCCTTACCCATTTATTAAATCTCAGGCCTCATTTTCCTCAAAATCTGGAAATTAAACCTAAACTAACGCTATGGTTTTTATGAGAGTCTACAGTTCTAATAATAATCTTGGAGATACAATACAAATAACAGATTGGTGGTTGCTAGAGGTGGGAATAGAGGGTGGCTGAAATGGGTGAAGGGGGTCAAAAGTACAAACTTCAAGTTATAAGGTAAATAAATCCTAGGATGTAAGTACAGCATGGTGACCATAGTTAATATTATCTATATATATAAAAGGCTAATATGCTAAGTGTCAGTCCAACTGGTAGCTATGACATGCACTGACCACCAGGGGGCAGATGCTCAAGCAGGAGCTGCCGAGCTGCAGTGACTTGGCAGCTGCAGTTCTCAGGTGACGCACAGGAAACCAGAGAGGAGGGAGCCTGATTTCTCTCAGGGCCACACAATTCCACCTTTGGCCATGGGTTATGTTGTTGCTGGGGCACTGCCGGCCCCATATCTCGTTTACTGCACACTTGCATTTGTGGTCCACACCCTGTACCACAGCAACTTTGCAGAGTGCTCTCTGGCACTCCGGGACCCCTGAGGGGATGTCGGAGAGTCAGTTTCAGCCAGAGGGACCCTGCTCACTCTGCAGACCCCCTTTGAGTCACGGGGGCGCCACCCCAGGTGCAGCTGGCCAGGGAGGGACCAAGGGAGGTTGGCTTCAGGGCATGTCAGGCCCGTCTCGCCCAGTCCCACCCTGCCGGCCATCTTCTAGTTAATTTCCTTTCAATGTGCACGAATCTGTGCACTGAGTCGCTAGTATTATATATTTGAAAGTTGCTGAGAGTAGATCTTTAAAAAAAATCAACTAACATTTTTGTTTTTTATGTAAATTTACATAGTGAAATGTACACATCTTACCATATGATGAGTTTTGACAAATGCTTATACCTCTGTAACCCAAACTCTGAGTTAGAGAGCTTTTCCCAAACTACAGAAAATTCCCTCTTAAGTCAAATGCACCGTGGTCTCCAGGTTACCTCTTTCTGACTCTTACCATGATGGATTAAATAACTAATAATTAAAAGTTATTGTTAAATCCAGGCTTTGTTTCATAATGCTTCATCGGCATCAATGCTTTTATTTCTCACATGCACTGGGAGATGGATATTATTAAGGATTAAAAGGTGAGCATCAGCCCTGGTTGCTTATCAGCTACCCAGTGTAGCATCAGGATGGGAAGGAGGAAGTGGTAGAAGCTTGGGCTCCTAATTTCAGTTTGTACCACACTGCATTGTGGGAGTTCAGAACAAAATGTGCCTCTGGTATGCAGATTTTGAGCTAAAGGTATTTTGAGCTAAAGGTAACTTTAGCCACTAGCTCAAGAGAAACTTCTGCTCCTCCTTTAACTATCTAGAAGAATTTATAGGCCTTGCCTATAATAAGAGATTACCTTATCACTTTTGACCTATCTATAGGGTAGGACAAACTTTTATTTACTGAACATAGGCTTTTCTTATCCTCTTGCAATGACCCTTTGAAACTAGCTCAGGATGTTTTATACATCAATTTTCCCCTTTCTCTCTCTGAACCTCTCCAGCAGGTGGGGTCTCTTATTCTTAGGTATTAAATTTGGTCACTTTCTCTTGCTAATCTTCTCATGTCTTATTAGACCAGTGGAAAGCACCTTGAGGGTAAAGTTTGTTCCTCCCCCACAGCATCTCTGAGGTGGTACCAGGAATCAACCAACAGTATTACAGATCAAAATGCAAGGGAAGCCCGGCAGGTGTGGCTCAGCATCGAGCCATATATAAGAGGGCACCTGTGTTACCGTAAAAACATTCAAACCTGTAAAGAATTTTTGTGAGTTTATTTGAGCCAAACTGTCGACAATTGCCGGGAAGAAGTATCTCAATGGATTGGGATAATGCTCCAGAGAATGGCGGTTTTTTCATCTATTTTTATACAATGTAATCAAAGGAGGGGACTTAGGTGGGTTACATGAAATCCATTGGTGATAGAGAGGAGGGAGAAAGCAAAGGGGCGGGGAGGGGAGAACGTCTGGGATTGGCTAAAAAGTAAAATGATAGACACATACTTAGGTGGGTGAGGATAGTTAACAGCCAACAATTAACATGATAACAATAACAATGAAGGAATTTGTAGTATCTGTCCTGGCGTCCAAGCACATTAGGTTGTGCCCCAAGGGGTCTGGAAAAATGGAAGTTACAAGTTACCCAGACATTTCAAGGATATGTTATCATAGATGCAAAAAGACAGATAGGCACAGTTAAGGTAAAGGTTGACCTTGTCAGTGAAGATACTGGCCTAGGACGTAACTACCCACCATAACTGCTTTTAGTTAAAGTTTATTTTTTTATTTAAAAAATATTTTTGTTCACTTCAGAGAGGAAGGGAGAGGAGGGAGACATAGAAACATCAGTGATGAGAGAGAATCGATTTGCTGCCTCCTGCACATCCCCCACTGGGGATCAAGCCCACAACCTGGGCGTGTGCCCTTTACAGGAATCGACAGGAACCTTCAGTCCACAGGCTGGTGCTCTATCCACTGAGCCAAACCAGCCAGGGCATATTTCAGACTATCCTTTGTGGTTACTTTAGGTCTATTTTTGCAAGACCGCCTTGCAGCTTGTCAGGTTAGCATGTGGCCCCTTTGGTCCACACCTGTTTGATTCCCCCTCAGGGCACACGCCTGGGTTGCTGGCTGGATCCCCAGTTGGGGGCATGCAGGAGGCAGCCAATTGAAATTTCTCTCTTATTGATGTTTCTATCTCTGTCTCCCTTCTTCTCTCTCTAAAATCAACAACATATTTTTTTTTAAATGCAAGGGAAACCCATGCTACTTGCAAGTTCTCAAACTCCTGAATCAGCCTAAAAGCCGTATGTATTACATCTTTCTAAAAGAGTCCCTTCTCTCCCACTGCTCAGAAAATGGCAGGAAGGAGGTGTGAAAGGTTGCCAATGTGATTTCATTCGTGAGAGCCCAGAGGTGGTTCAGACTGCAAAGCGGCGGAAGGTATCAGCCCGCCGGGTGCCCTCCTCTGATGACACAGGTGTCCTCTTAGGATCCAGCCGCATTCACCAGCTCAGCCTCGGAACAGGGCACGCTGCCACCGGGATGGCTGCTGGCAGGGCTCCTCAAGCAGCCCTAGATTGCAATTAGTCACCCGTCCTCCTCAATGTCACCGTCTCCCTCTCTCAAACACGCACCGTGGCACCTCGTTCCCACCGCCTGCGGCCGAATTCCCAGGCTCCTCCCTGGAGCTGACTGCGAGAACCCCCTCACTGACACCACCGCGCAGCCCGCGCTGTCATGGCAACCGTACGCCGCACCACCGCCTCTTCACGCACGTCGTGAACTAACGGACTCCACAGCGGCGGAGCGGTGGCCGGGGCTCCACCCCCACCCCACCAGACCTGGACCGCATAACCAACAGTCGGCCAGCCTGCGGCACCGGGGTAATGAGTCCAAGAGAGACCGGCGCGAGCGGGAGAGGAGGCAGTGGGGCGCCCAGGGTGACAGCCATACTCCGTCCCCTGTCGCTGGCCCTTGGGCGCCAGCCTTCGCGGCGGGAGCGGGAGAGGCGCGGGTCATTGTGGGGATTGTAGTTCCGTGGCTTCTCGGGCTCATGGTCTTGGATGGGCGCCCTGGACGGGTGACTACAAAGCCCAGCGGCCCCGACGGCTGGGAGAGACCTTAAGCGGACCGTGGGAGTGAATAATCTCTCTTTGTGGTGAGGGGTTCTTGGGTAGTCGCGGAACCTGACTCTGTGAACTAGGAAAGGGAAGTGGAGGTGAGACTTGACTTGACTTCCCCCTGGCGTGGGGCCCGCCCTGGTTGCCGGGCTGGGCCCTTCCCCGGCGGGGCCAGCGCCTTGCGTTGTCTCGGGGAGGAGCCGCCAGCCACCCCGCTGCGGGGGCGTGGGCCGGCCGAGCCTCTGACCCCCCAGGGTGCTGCCTCTCGGTGCAGAACCGTATGTATGGCACACGTTTGATGTGAGACCCGAGGAGCTCAATTTTACCAGGCTTTCCTTTCCCTGATACGTTTATTTCTACATATTTAATTATGTTTATTCTGCAGTAGCCCAGAGGTGTTTGCATATTAAACCCATTGATTGATAATTCATTGATGTTTAAAGGTTAAGTGTAGACGTGGTGGTAAAAGATACCGTGCTATTATATCGTAGTACCTGGAGTTTTTACCGTTTTGCATTTTGAATTTTACTTACTGAGGGTCAGGATTGCAAAGTGAGTTATCCTCCTCTCCCAGCTTGAACAGTGCCTACACATATTTCGATTCTATTTTGAAGATTAGGTCAACTCTAAAAATCGCAGACTTTTTTTTTTTTAGCAGTGAGTAGTAATATTTTCTTTGATTAGTCAGCTGTTTTTTAGAATTTCTCAGGAGCATGTTTTTAGGATGAAAAATGCCGTATTCTATTACTACTACTACTACTACTATTATTATTGTTATTATTAACCAATGCTCTGGAGTACACCTTAGTCCTCAGAGTTGGCTTAGGCTTTGGTGGTAAGGAATCTGACACAGACTTAGGCAACCTGCCTTGATGACCCTTAGAATTTTTTCTTTAATAGATAACCATCCTAGAAATTTCGTATTTTATATAGAATGTTGGAAAATTGTTTGTAGTATGGTGTGCTTTTTTTGTGTGTGTTTAAATAATAAAATAATATAAGGCCAGTATCAAATTCCTTTTGTCAATTAAAATGAAGCTAGCCTCTGGAAATTTTACTTAAAGTAGCAATTTAATGGAAAGTAGGTTTGGTAAGACCATTAGAAAAAAAATTGAAGCCTTCTGTTATATAGTACTAGAAGCCTGGTGCATGAATTTGTGCACGGGGGGGGGGTTCCGGCCATCCCTGCACCAATCGGGGTGGATTGGGGGCTGGGCCTGTTGGGAGGAGGAGACAGCGGGAGGTTGGTTGGAGCAGGGCTTGCTGGGGGGAGGGGCTGTGGGTGGTGGGCTGCTGGCCTGGCCCCCAAATGGTGTGGGGGGAGCTGGCTGGGGGAGGGGACATGGGCTGATCAAGGTAGTGGGGGCTGATCAGGAGTGGGCCAGCAGGGGGAAGGGGCTGCAGGAGGTTGTCTGGCTAGCCCTGCCCTTATTGGGGTGGGGGGTGCGATCAGGGGCAGGGCTGGCCAGGGGGAGGGGTTGCGGGAGATTGGCTGGCCGGCCCCACCCCCGATTGGGCCAGTTTGCTGGCCGCAGTGGGCGTCATAGCGACCAGTCGTTCTGGTCATTATGGCATTCCGGTTGCTGGCTTTTTATATATATAGTTAGGGATTTGAAGCATTGTATGTATTCATTCAGGATTCATTAAGAATGTATTATGTGCTAGGCATTATGCCAGGTGGTGGGAATATAGAGATGATAGAAGATGGTGTGTGTCCTGCATGGGGAAGAGTCATGTCATCACAATAGTGGGCTGGAGATGGGTACAAGTTGCTGTAGGAGCCCAGAGTAGGAATAAATAGTAATATAACACTAACATTTATTGACTACTTACTCTTTAGCCACTTATAGAATCCTCACATTTTGTGAAATTGCAACTGTCATTTAGAAGTGAGAAAACAGACTTAGAGATCTTGTGCAAAGTTGTAGGTGATAAGGTGTGAACCTGGGATTTCAGTCCACATGTGTCTAACTCATCTGAGTCAGGATCTCATCCAGTAGTGCCATTCTCTGTATACATTTATAGAAAGATCCTGACTCTGTCTAAGGAGATCAGGATAAGTCTCCAGAATGATGTGATGTTTGACTTGTACTAAGAAAGTTGAGTAAACTTTCACTGGAAAGAGGATGAGAAAAGTCATTCTAGGTAAATGGAACAACATGCTTTTGAGATATATTTGAGTGCTTTGTATTTGGGGGAACTCTAGGCCATTCTGATGACTGAATCCCAGAATACATGCAGTGTAGTGGGTGAGGCCAGATCTAAAAGTGCTTGAGTACCATGATAAAGAGTTTAGAATTTTCTTCAACCTTGAGTGACCATTGGAGAATTTCAAGTGGAGTAGTGTTACTGAGTTTGTGTTTTAGAAAGAAAACTCCAGCTTCATCGTGGAGAATGAACCTTGGGGAGGATAGATTTAGAGTCATAGTAGGGAAACCAATTTTACTATAGAACAACAATAACAACAACATCCAGTAGAGAAATGAAGAGAATCTGAACTAAGCAGTTGGATTTATAAAAAGAGATGGATTGTAGAAATATCTATCTATATATATAAAAGCCTAATATGCAAATTGTCCCCTCTGGAATTTGACCAGGAGACTGGGAGTTCAATCACTTGCTATGATGTGCGCTGACCACCAGGGGGCAGCGTGGAATGAAGGAAGGCCCCAGCCGGTAGCCAGCAGCTGGGGAAGGGAGGCCCCAGCCGGCAACCAGAAGGCCCCGATTGGCCCTGATTGCTGGCCAGGCCTAGGGACCCTACCCATGCACAAATTTTGTGCACCACCCTCTAGTTCAGTGGTTCTCAACCTTCGTAATGCTGCGACCCTTTAATACAATTCCTCATCTTGTGGTGACCCCTAACCATAAAGTTATTTTCGTTGCTACTTCATAACTAATTTTGCTACTGTTATGAATCGTAATGCAAATATCTGATAAACAGGATGTATTTTCATTGTTACAAATTGAACATAATTAAAGCATAGTGATTAATCACAAAAACAATATGTAATTAAATATGTGTTTTCTGATGGTCTTAGGCGACCCCTGTGAAAGGGTCATTCGACCTCCAAAGGGGTCACGACCCACAGGTTGAGAACCGCTGCTCTAGTTTAAGAGATAAAATTGATCTGACTTAAGAGTCTGGGTGTTGGGGCTAGAAAGATTTGGAATTGTAAGACAACTGATTCCTAGTTTTCTGGCTAGAATGACTGACAGGATCATGAAACCATTGGTTGAGGTGAGAAGGAGTAGGTTTTTGTGGAGATGAAAGATAAAGATAAATCAGTTCAGTTTTGACTGTTTGTCCAAGGTTCCTGTGGGGTATTCAGGTAAGGATGCATGGGGTATTCAGGTAAGGATGCATTTGGATCTGGAGTTCAGGAGAGAGCTCAGGGCTAGAGGTCGAGGTTTGCATGCTCGTAGTGAAGTTATAGAAGGGAATGGACCAGTTCACAGAGGAGGAATGTGTAGAAACGAAGAAGGGAGAAGTTTGAATATGGAACTCTTGCAAAGCGGCAGCATTTACTGTGTGTGTGTGTGTGTACATATGTATGTATGTGTGTTGGACATTTTTGAGAGGAAGTGGGAGGAAAGCTGACACAGTATACTGAGGTTAGAAGGCAGAGAGGAAGAACCCCAGAGAGCATGCATAACAAATGACAAAGGAGAAGGAAAGTAAGCACAGAGTGGGCCAGAGTATCAGGTGCCTTGGAGAGTGCAAGTAAGGTTAAAGGTAGAAGTGTGTCCAGTGAATTTGGTGGCTTCAAATAATTTCTAAACTTTGTAAAAATTAAGAAGAGGAATCTGAGCATAGGTTACTTGAAAAAAAAAAGTTTAAAATTTCGCATAATAATACATATCAAAAGGAAAAGGAAATAGATGAGTCCCCATGTGTCCATAACCTATCTTGAAGAATGAACACATGATCAATTTTGTTTCATCTATAACTCCTGTCCCCCAACTGGATTATTTTATAGCTAAACTCAGATATCATATCCTTTTATCTGTAATTATTTAAATACATATCTTTAAAAGTTAAGGATTACTTAAGAATACGTAACTATAATATCCTACTCAAAAAAATTGACAGTACTTCCTTAATATAATTATCAGGCACACTTTATTTATTTGATTTTGAGAGTACATTTATTACAGCTGGGGACAGTGAAACAGGGAGGGCTTAGAATAGAGGAAGCAACAGGTGAGAGCCAAGGTAGGACTCCTGTTAGCTCACTGAGAAAAGGGGGCCTTGGAGACAGGTTCAGGGGCTTAGCCCAGGATGAGTTGCTGCTGCCTATTGCTCCCCTGGTTGCAAGTCTCCAGGGGACCCTTAAAGTTTAGGAGATCCCTGCTGGAGAGGGAAGAAAGGCGTGGGTGTGCTCCACCCAAACTTTTTATTTTAATGAAGCATGACTACATAGAAAAGAAAGAGATGAGGCAGTAACAAAAAAGGTTTGTAGGTTGTTTTATTTTGTTTAAGATTGATAACATGCTATTAGGGAAAAAAACCATGAAAAGGAAATGTTGGAAGATGCAGGGGATGAAAAGAGAGGAGAGAGCTGATAGAGGTCCCCCAAAATGTAGGAAAGGACAGGATGAGCAGGGTGAAGGAATTAATTTGTTGCATTTTATAAGTACCAACCAAGTGCTAGCTGTGTTCCTAGGCAGAGTGCTGGTGTCACTAGGAGGAGAGTTGTACTGAAAAGGAAGAAGAGAGGTGAGAATAGATAGGATATTTATAGGTTGGGTTGTGAAAGGTG